TATACGTTTGAATGCAATTGATTACGTGTCATTATGGCAAATAGTAATAACCATTTTAACAAAGTTATCATACCTGAATAATTTCAAACCCATCGGTTAAATGGATGAAAGTGAAGTACCTATCTGTGATTATGTGGCCTATGAAAATGTCGTAGAATTGTAATTTGCGTGGAAATTTCTAAATCTCCTTCATTTAGATGTCAGAGATTCGTCTACGACGTTAGAGTGATTCACAACAGTATTCTCGATTTTGAATTCGATTGTCATCAAGCCATTCAAATCGTTATGAATTTTACCGAAAGTCTGGACATCAGGGCACAGGCACACGCTTTCCTTCTGGAGTACAAGAAGGAAATTTCCCTCTTGGCACCGTTCAGTTACTTTGTTAATTGCGCTCTTCAAATTTGGCCACTTGTCCAACTAATGGAATCCGACCCCACATCCTCGAGGAATTTATATAATTACTACAATGAAAGGTAATGACCAAACTAATATTTGCTTTAAAAGAATTCACTTTAGAGGAAGGAAAATGCGAGTGGCTTTGAAGAAATTAGCTCCGACATTAGCTAAGTTTCGTTGTGACTCCAGAGACTTTGAGGTAATAATATGTTCTGACCCGACATTCGTTTCTCCACCCGCGGCGCTTGAACTGTTTAATTCAAGATATGGAAATTGTTGTTTGTTTGTCAAAAATTTGAAACCCCGAGCAGAGAATGCCATGGAAGTATTTTTCAAAAGTCGTAAATTAATAGCAAAAAAATTGGTTCCTGATTTGCGTATTGAAGATATCTTTTCTCTTTTGAAAAATCATTATGATACTATTTCCTTGACATCAAGTTATGATTCTGAATCTAATGTCACCAGTGATGGTAGTGAATTAAATTTCTTATATTGAATTGTTGATTTGATCGAAATAAATTTGGCACTCTATGAGATAAAAATTTTTGCTTTTCTGTTTATGCAAAGCATTGAAATACCCGCCATAACATCGATGTTATTTTTGAGGTTTGACTGTTATTACATCAAACAAATAACTTAAATGACCTTGAATTTGTCTAAACAGTACACATTGTGAGGTAATTAAATTATCGTTGAAGACTGTTAATCAGTAGTATTATTTAATAAATACATCAGAAAGTCGATTACCGTCAACCGTATGAATGGAAAAGGCTTATAGGAATAAATGAATGTTGTCTGCTAACATCAAGTTGGTTGTAACAGAGAGAGGGACAATACTTCTGTGTTGCCCGAGATGATCGATGGAGCTCCCACATAACCTGGCACGATCCCATGATCAAGGGAACTAAAATGATATATCCAATCGATTGATTCAATTTTAGGTTGTCATCTAGGAAGTCGTAGAATAATTTGACCAATTCGAACTCAATGTGCAAGGAGATGCCATAACAGTAAACCCAGTAGTAAATTAATGATGAATCGGAAGGAAAAGTGGAATTCTTGGCATTCTCCAAATGACTTAATGCTTTCCTTCACACACTTGACAACGATCTTTCAACGACTGCCAACTCATCTGAGTTTGTTTATCAGAGTGGTGGTGGTTGGGGGGGGGGGGAGATGGTGTTGGAAGGTTAGATCAAATCCACCAAAATTTAGTGCAAATTGATGTAAATCAGTATGGATTTCATAGTTCAAAGTTGGATAGTGCGTGCATATTGCCTCCTGAGTAGCAGACACTGGTCTTTATCACTAGACATCCCAGTGGATGGAATTGAAAAATTTTAACTTTGAATCGTGGATTGACCTCTTAGTAACACGAAATCAAACCCGAAAAAAATATAAGAATGCGTTTTACGTATTGGTGTTGATCATTAATCTTTTTTCTCACAGTTCGTATCCTTTTGTAGACTATCTACTAACCGATATCGGTTTCTTCCTCAAGTAAAAATTGGTATGCTCTGCATTACTGTGGGTGGATGGAGGGGTTGGTGGTGTTGATCCTCATCAGATTCAGTTTTGGTTTTTGAACCCAATTTACTTGTGGTCTTTGATTGATCAAATGTTCACGTTGACCACTGTGCGACCAACGAATAAAGATGGTTTCTGGTGAGATGAGCTGCATCAGTGGAGCAAACAGAAACTGACAGTAATCAGTAGAGGGAGAACAAACTCCAAATAGATGACTATGAGCAGGTAAAATTCTACGATACCGTATAATCTAAATTGTCGCCAATATACCTGCTTGAGTGTTCAAATGAGCGTTAACTTTGCTTGTAAGCATAAACGTTTCAAGGTCCACATGAATGGGGTGCGCGATAGACTCACCTCCACTTGGTGTACACTGACCAACGTATAATGCTACAACAATAAAGTCTATTAACAGCCAGTTGACTTCTGACTTCCAACTACCATGACCCTTCTGCCTGTATGTCACATTCGAACACTTCCCTTGTACTCACCTTACTTTTTTCTATGCCTTTTGCATGCCTGTCTCTCTTACCTCTGTGAATAACTCTTCTGCTCCCCTCTCCACTCTATGTGACTTTGATGTTTCTCCTCTCTGTGAAGCCCGAGGTCAACTTAAGGGTTAATGATACCAATCATAATGCCTGACATTTTTAATGTAAACAAATTTTCGCCTGAATTGAACTATTTTCAGTGTTAAAAGCTGGGAAGATGGATGAGACTCTATGAGTGTCGTTTGATTATTTAGTGGGAAATCAGCCATAATTGAGGCCTCATTTACACATGAATCCGGAAACAGATGAAAATTGACATGTGACCGACTGCGTCCTTGTTGGTTTTATTAAGGTATCGCTGTTATAAAGCACTACATGCATGCAATAAGCTGTGATGATAGATTGTACACCGAAAAGCCATAATACAGGGCCCAAACTATTTCGTTTTCAACGACTATTATGAAAGCACCAACAGTATATTGCCTTTCAAATCAATCTGTGAAAATATTAATCGATTCTGCCTATACTAATAGAATAAACTCTATAAACGAAAATGTTACCCAATTACACCTTTGGGTCACAACTTGGGTTCCAATTAATTGGAACACTAATTTCATAAATATGTTAGATAAGGTCATTATGAACGGCGATCAAATGAAATTGTCTATCACACACGTCTAATTAAATTCGCCGAAACTTTCCAGGTTAGGGCATCTTAGTAAAAATGAGATCTGGAGACTAGGAGATGGCATCTTATTTATCAATCACAATTACAAAGGCGTTGCAAGGACAGAGGACGACCTGGTGACTTTCGCGGTGAATCCAATTAAGTTTTATCAAATTGAAGAGGAAAACCTAAGCGCCCAGCTGGCAACTTTGTAGATTTTATGATGAAAGTAGGGAATTCGAGTGTAACTCGGCGTGTAGCTTGGATCAATATAGATTCCTTCCAATCCTTTGAGCAGCAAAACCTATTTGAACACCATTTGAAGTAAATTGGCAAGAGTAGATCATCCGTGTATTTATGCAAAGGAAGGATTAGTAGAATAGAGCCTAACTAATGTCCCTTAACAGTCGAGTTGAGCTTGAAACATCTTTAGGTTGATTGATAATTCCTTGGAAGCAATCATCGCAACCTGAATGAAGTTGGATGGCAAAAAACAAACTCGATTTCAAGGGCTGTTCCATAAACAACTATTTCCAGCTATTGATTCATTTAGAAACTGGACCTCTTCACTGGGAATATAAAAATCGTGAAAAATTCAATTTAAGAACGTCGCTCAGTTGGCATTGCATTTCGATCTTCCCACAAGGTCATTCTGTTGGTAGTTCGAAAAAAGTTCACAACTAACTGCTATTTTCACAGAGAGAGGGCTCCAATAATTATTCAATTTTATTTTCACTCTATCAGGTAATCAGAAAATACTCTTGTCAACAACGCGGCATAAGAGAAAAAAAAGCACTTAGAGTACTCTTTTTCTGTCCTTTGAGTCTCGCATAAATCAAATATTAATAAGTATATTTGTGACATTCTGATTCGAAAAAAACTCCATAACGAAGAGGATAATGAAAAGGAATGATGGCAGGTGGGGGTGGAAGGGAGGGTTAAATTCTTCAGAAAAGATTTTTAAACGATATATCATCCATGTCACTTATATTGCTGGAAAGATGTCAATATCAATCATATTCTATTCGGTTTAGTTTCGATAATTAGATAGATAGATAGATACAAATTCAATTCGTGATTATTCAAGCTTACAAATTTGATAAATTTGCTTAAAGAGGTAATGCTGTTTGCTTGATTAGAAACGCTTGCCGTATCAAAATTTATCACAGGTTCTTTATTCAAAAATAGATACAGGAGGTTCATTTTCCGTTGTGTGTCAACCTGATGGTTAAAATGTTGCCATATGGAACAAGATCAACGAAATATAAGAAGACGACGAAATGTACCATTACCTATAACAAATCTATGGTTTGAGCAGAAGAAAAATGCACATTTAATGCACATCTCCGTTAAATAATCAATCTGATCTGAATTCGCTATTTTCCCTCCTGGTAATATCATTCGCGGTTGAAGCAATTATTCTTAGAAATATCTTCTCTTTCCATATGGTACGATAACTAGATAATATGAGATTTAAATTTCCGAAAGATGTCATTAATTAATCAATTGTATTTTATCCATCTCTTCATTGCAATTTTTTATTAGATATTCGATTTGTACTTAAGCTTTAAACTTTTAGATTTCGGTAGAGAACTTTTTGTTTCGAGAACTCTCTAAATCTACTTTACTGATTTTAAACCAACTTAAGTTTTTTTAAAGTTCCGTTTGATTCTATTTTTCATTCATGCACGAAAAATTCATTTTCTTATCTTATATTAAGATTATGTAAGTAAAGAATGGCAAAAATTGGAAGCATTTAAATTTGCATAATTTGAGGCTTTATAGAGGAAATTTTTCATCAACTCGTTGTGGTAGATAGTTGAATTTTTTAGAATTCATTCCAATTTTTATAGATTTTCAATAGCACAGGACACTGTCTCTATTTTGCTACGCAAATAAAATTTAAATCCAATTGAGGTAATGAGTTTCAGACGAAAAATTGACAGCCTAAACGTTTATTGAACTTAATTATCAGTTTGCGAATCAAAACAAGAACTACGTTAAATCTTAGTATCAGCATTTTGTGGAAACTTATTTATGTCAAATGGCAGGCGTTTTGACAGTTTTCATTAGCTCTTTAGTTGACTTTAGGCTTCACAGAGTGGAAGGAACATCAAAGTGAAAAATAATTCGAGAGTGGGGGACCAGAGGATTTTCAAAGACAAAGGTAGAAAAAAGGTGAGGTGAGTACTGTGGAAGTAATCGAATATGACATAGAGTGTGGTGATGGTAGTTTGAGGTGAGAAGTCAACTGCCGATTAATAGACTTTTTTACCGTATGAGCATACGTTGCCCAGGGTGCACCACGTGGAGGTAAGTCTATCACACACCCATTTTGTGGAAACTAGAGTATTGCGAGGGCTTTGAAATAAATCGACTCCCCTTCTACGTCAGAT